GCCCCGGTATATTTTCAACGTACATAGTAAAATAATGCAAAATAACTCTTGAAGTTGAACATTCATTTGACATCGGCATGTATTTATGAAAAAGCATGTTAATTACCGTCATATAAACTACCTACACTTCTCCCACATTTGAAGTTGTTAAACAACATGTTAAATATTTCTGTACTCAGAGCTTCATAGATCAACCACATATTTGGTATAGTAACACGATGATCATCAGGCATCAACGATATCAACTAGAGCAGGCAAATGTATTATCTTCATTAGAATAGTTTTGGAGATGTATTATAGAATACATTATTTCCTTTTAAGCATAACGCAGTAGCAAACATTTTTGATTCGACAAGTGGCATTTTAAGAAATGTATGAAAATGTAAAATGAATTACTTTGAAGATTTTAGCCAGAGATTGCTTATAGATAACATTAGATGCTACGCCTATGGGTTACAATATATATCGGATGTGGAAATTATTGCTAAAACAAACAGGGAGTATACGAGCACTAGACAAGAATTTATTAAAAGAGAAACAAGCTCATAGTTGGTTATACATAGTTTCGTGTTTATGTGTTTGCCCATGGAAATGTTTAGCAATGCCGAGTTCAACGGTAAGCGAGATAACAATTTTTGAAAAGCTGTTTTTTTAAATTTTTTATTCGGCATTATCAGAGTGGACTCTTACTTAAAGTCTTGTAGGTTTGTCAAGTCTAGCTGTCCCTCAAATATCATATAATGTTAGGTAAAAAGAAGGGAAGAGGAAGTGGGGAAGGTAGGGGGGCAAAGAGTAGGAGGTGATTTCTATTAAATCGATTTGATGACCTGTTATATTTACATTATGTGTAGCCGCAATTTTTCTTAATTTTGTCAGAAAATGAGACAACTGCAGATGCTTCAGAACTGTTATTAATATCCTTGGGGGGCTCCATAGGAGAGCCCAATAGCGGATTTTGGGGATTTATTCAAGCGCCGCAGATTAAGATAAGGTGGGATACCCTACATCTTGTTTATTACCTCCACCATATATAAGCAGGACGTACGTCTAGGGCGGCCGATCAGAATAGTGAATAAATTCAATGTTTTGAAATACTCCTGCGCGTCATACAAAAGGTGGATAGATTACATGGTAAAAAGTGTGTATTTTAGTAATCTGACGATTCGAGTGTAACTTATAGGAGTAAGAAGGTCACAAGCTAGCAAAAAGAATTTTATAATGATTCTTTCGTAACGACATGTGGTTTTCACTCGTTTGTAGGGTTTTTCATGCACATTCTGAATAATAAAAACTATTACCATTGAATTTGAAGTTTTCGAAAAAATGGCATTTCTTATTTTGAGGTTATGCTACTACTATGTCAAGGACGCAAAAGTTTTGTAGTTTTTGAAAATCGTTCCAGTCGCAGCAAAAAAACTAAAAAGAATAAAAACCGCTCAAACTTCCATTTTTGACGTTTCAGTGAATCCTAATCATTTTTGAAAAAAATTTTAGAGGTCAAAAAACTTGGAGGTGGGGGACGGGTATTCCTCTTTTTTTTTGGATGGTAGTACATTTATACGCTCCCAACCTCGGTAATTCTACGTTCCCATTAGACATACCTCTCACATCATAGACTTCTCTGTACATTAGCCCTTAAAAATTTTCTCGTCAGTCGGATCGCGTACCTACCGGCTACGGCTGCTGCTCCAGGTGACGTGCTGCGAAATAGTGCACTCAGCGTACTGTTTCCTATGCTCTGAGCTCTGACAGCGCTGCCTCGTCTGACGGGGTTAAGTATCGCGCAGACGCGACGTTTCCAGATTCACGATCAGGAAAGAATGCCTAAGGAGTAGTTGTATGCACCTGTTTGACTGACTTGTTTCTCAGAGGGTCTTGTCTGTGTTAAACATAATCCTTTCTGAACTGATAACGGCGTTGCGTAGAAAGTGCGGAGTCAAACTACTTCACGCCATTTTTTCCTGCGGTCTACCCAATAAGTCCATACGCCGCTCGAGTAACTACCCATTTAGGCTCTTGGTATATATATATAGATTTCGAATGATATGAGGTCGAAAATGTGCTTTTAATAACGATCATACTGAATTTTGCTGCATTATTCGTATTAGCTGTTATCTTTTTTGTTGTCCATCAATAAGGTCAAATTCTGTATGGCCTAGTATTTCATAGTCAGGGGCGTAGCGAGGCAGAAACTTAAGGGATGGTGAATGGATCATTTTGCTTGTTCGTGGGAGACATTAGATACTTTCTACAATGTAAACATCGCCCAGTCCCATCCAGTTAATCTAAATCAGTGCTGTCCAACTTAATGTGGCCCGAGGGCCACTTAAAAAACATGCAGTTTGGAGGGCCGCATTATAAAATCTTTCTATACAACATTATTACTGAGTTAATGTAAGAATTGTGCATATTCGGTATTTGAGAGTAATTTATACATGTGATGTATACATGACCCGTGAAGCGGGCCGCAAGAAAGGAGTTCGCGGGCCGTATGTTGGACAGCCCTGATCTAAATTATAGTTTCTGAAACTGTTGTAACTATAGAACCCGTTGATCTGCACGTTGGTGGTATCTTTATTTTTGCGACATTAAGGTCCATTACTTTCGGTTAAATATAATTCCAAAATGGAATTGATCACGTCAGTACATTAGTATTTTTTAAAAAAGACTTTTTTTGAAGTGGTTAAATGCTTCCGAAAACGATGCCTCATTTCTGGTTATAGTACATAATTATTATTATTCGATATTATTAGACTTGATAATACCAGAGTTATCGCTGAATTATTTCATTTGTAATACTTATTAAGTTTGTATACCCCTAGTTTTAGTCATCTGTAGAATGTTTGCATGTCACTGTTATTGTGCCACTGAACTGGAATCTGAAGATAACTGTGAAGTATAGTTGTTTGATGTTTTAATTACATTATAATTTTACTTATTCTAATAATATTTCCTGTTATTAAGATAACAGATGGATTTGTTATAAAATTCGATTATAATTCCCATTTTTGTAAGCAATGTTATCAGTCCATTTTGGCTTCAAACGCGTGCTTTTACTAAACAATTAGCCTGAGTGTTTTCGTTTCGACAACATGTGTTTAGCAACATTACCCGATATAAATACTAAGTAGTCACTTTCTTTGGCACAGTTTCATATCATATGGTTGCGTATGAACTATTGTGGCTTGCTTTCATGGAAAAAGTACATGGCAAGTTATATTTTACCAAATAATTGATTCAAAATCATTTACATAAAAGTCAACCTCCTTTTATTCATTGCGGTCTGTAGCACAGACTCTGATAGCACAGGACGTTTCATCTTATGTGAAACCATGACCATCAGTTTAAATGAAATTTGGTGCTTGACATTTAATGAACAATAAAACAAACTTGGACCGTGATACCTAGATTCAAATCAGTCGCCGCGATATTCTTGAAAATAAAAGCAACTACATGAAGTTTGGTGTAATGTGCCTGATACAGGAGGCTAACAAATGAGCCAAAAATTACCGCAGTTGTTTCTGTTTGTGTAACAGTTACAAGCCATTGTCTTTGCTTTAGGATTTATATGAGGAAATAAACGCATAGATGACATGCTGTTCAAAAGATCTCAGTCTGCGCTAGTTTTCAAATTTGAAATATCGCGGTATTAATTTGAGATACTGCGATGTGTTGACCACAAACTTCAAAGCAGTGTGTGATGCTTCGGCTATTTACGGTCCAGTCGCGTATGCCTCTTGTTACATTTTGAAATACCATCAGTTGTCTTATATCTTCCAAGAAGTCGAGAACGAGTTTGAAGCGAAAGGAAGAATTCTCTAGTCACAGCGCCTCGAAGTTTTAAAAATAAGTCAAAGTATTCACAAAAAATCTCATTAACAGTATTGAGCTCACTATGTATATGAGTATAAAATAATCTCCAAATTCAAAAAACCTTGACTTGAAACGGCTGAACTGATTTTATTTTATCATGTCTAAGAACTCTCACGACTAAATTACCTGCTCAGAGTTTATACTTGATTGCAAAGGTATATAGAGATATATTTGAAGAAGAATGCTTTTAGATAAATTCTCGAGCTATCATAGAATTCTTACCGTGTGTCGTCCTACCTTACTTTCCTACTTCAACGAGCTTGTATGGATCTTTTGAAACGTCTAAAAATGAAGTTTGAGCGATTTTTATTCTTTTTCGTTTTTGACTTTTTTCTCTGTCGCCATTGGACTAATTTTAAAAAACTACAAAGCTTTTGCGTCCTTGCCATAGTAGTAACTTTGTGTTAAAATTTTATGGAAATCCGAGCGGTACTTCTCAAGTAATAGGATTGGCCGACAGACAGACCGACAGAAATGAATGACGTGGTTTCTTGTGATGTGCATGCTATAAATATGACATCCATTTTTATCTCATTTTCGAAAAATTTCACGATTACAATACTTCCCCGCCAGTAGGCTTGGGGGTGAAAATGTTCCATGTAAAAATTATAGGATCTAATATAAAGTTTTTTTGTCTCAGAAAAGTAATGTCGGATAAAGTTGTATTTTTTAAACGATTCACTTTATTCGATAGTACTGACACTCTATACAAAAAAAAATGTTGCATGAAAAATTTTATAATAGACTCTGTAACTTTTGTATGAAACACTTTTTCAAAAGAGAGGGTCAATTTATAGCGCGACAAAGCGATTGTAACAAGTTATGGCCGACGGGGACTGGCAGTGCTGAATATTACTTTTTAATAATGTTTTACAAAGTGTATCTAAAACTAGCCATAAGACTCTAAGTTATCCTTATTTTCACTTGACCTTTCTCACCTAGTGCCAATAAATCGGACTCTACCCAACTTAACAAGTTTGCAGACGTTAAAAGCCCTCGTTTCTTTTCAGAAAAAATTATACTGTAGATGTCTAGATCAAAGCACACCTTACTGCTAAAATTGCGCTAAATCCATCTCTGGTGTTGAAGGAGGGGAAGGCACGCAGTATCGATTTCTCCGGCCGTCACTTCAAGGCGGAGTGCGGTCCTGTGGATTGTTTACCTCCCGCCTATCTTCGCTCGGTAGTTTTCGTGTGGGATTCGAACCGTGCTCATGATTCATTTTCGTTTAAAAACAATAATCGATAATGAAAAAACAAACCACCTGACTGCTCGCTAGTTTGTAATAACTTTCGCGATCGAACCTCGACGAACAGTGGCATCGACCACGAGCTAAACATTAACCTTGGAGGAATCACAAAATCAACTGATCGTCCGCCAATTGACGCAGCTGCAGCGTCGTACCGTCGGTTCAATTTGATCCACTATGTGTTTGTGCCGCAGGGAATTCTTGCTTTTATCACTTTAATAGGCCCACATCGGTACGTTATCACTGCTCTGTTGCATACACGCGATTGCTTTTGTCGCTCTCGCAAACAATATAACGATTATAGCTGGTCGTCATTTCCTATTAAGTGATTTGTGCCTACGTAGGATATTTCTAGTAAAAGTTTTATGATGAGAGACCATGGTGAAACTGTTGTGTGTAGAGGAAAATGTAAGTAAAAGTAAATCAGATTAGTTGTACTACTTCCAATTTTTGTAGTAGGTCAACATAACCCCAAATATCAGTGACTCGAATATTTTGCAGCAGTGTATCGCACAACAGGATTAGAGGAAACGGTTGCTTCATTGTCATAGTATCGGATATTCTGTAGTAACCTGTTTACTGAATGTTAAAATCCTCAGCAACAGTTTTGATTCCACTACAAAACCGTATGATCTGAACTAAAAGTGACTCCCCCTCTCCTGCGAGCTGCGAGTGTTGTGGGGTTTCAAGAGAGAAACAACAATGAGTGGCACTAACAGAGTTAGGGGAAGAAAGCCTTACACACGGAATACATATGAGAACATGTGGTTTAAATAAGTAATTTCCAGACTTGAAAGGTGGGAGATGAGCATAATCTATAAATTGTAGTTTGCGAGCATTATTTTAACTTTTTTAGGTGAAAATTAGTATTTGTTATGGACAGTAGTCGTGGATTAGTGTTGTAAATAATTACCTATTATTAAATGTATTGACTGTAAAAATGCATTCGTATTGTGGTGTTGTCAAGAGCAACAGTAATGCTGCCAAACCAGGTCTGGATGTCACTAGAGATCGTGTCTGTAGGCGGAGCTGATGAGTGTCATTGGGATAGATGCATGTTCAATTTTTCTCACGTGAATTTTAATGTGTAGCCGGAACTTGAACTGGCAATGTCGGCCAAAAATAGATGTTTTTGTGGTTTGGAATTTAATATTATCATCTTCCAATTGTTCAAAGTAATTTGATTTTATTTATATTGTTTTCAAGCATTTGTAAGGTTATTGAAGCTAATCTTGGTTCACCCATTTTGTCAAATGAGCACAGAAATGGATTTTTGGTAGATTTATGTATGTGTTGAAGAACGTACATTTTTTCCTCTAGATTAAAGCTGTGGAAATATCCTTTTTTTAAGAAAATGTTCGATCTGCACCTGCTTTTAGCAAGTAGTAGCAATTTTAGAATTGTTTTTCCTGAACTCATTTCATAAGTGACATTTTAACCATATCTATTAGTGTTTCCTCGTCGAGTATTATCGACCAATTGTACTTATTAATACAGAATTTAATGATGACGTTTAACGCCAATAACACACGACGAAATTTCGAATACAGAATTGGTAACCATGACGTATCCTTCGTGACATTGTCTAACCATGTTACATAATTTTCTTAACCCGTAACCGGTGAGGTGCCACTTTTGTCACGTTGAGTGTGATGTGGAGTCTCTCAGACTCTCGAGTATATTTTTAGAATACGAATTAGTACCTGTTTTATTTCAATTTTATGGTATAATCTGGAGTCTATTTGTAGTATGTATTTATGTTTGGTTTGTTATAAATTTTATTATACACATCAAATTTGATGATTATCATTAGCCTTCTTCCTATCTACTCGTGTTGGGCCGCTGTATTTTTGACGCATTTGTTCCAATTTTTTGTTTGTAGAAGCTACGATAATGGCTAATATTTTTTCAGAGTGCTTAAAATTTTAACTGGATTTGCTTCATGTCCTGAATTTAGAGCTTCGTCTTTCAGACCAAGTAGCGTAATAATTATATTATGGCTGACTGTACGCACATTTCATGTTGATTCCATAAAGGACCATTTATGTTTTTTTTTCATAAAAGTGTGTTCTTTCTGTAGGCGAATCGTTAAAGTTATTTTCTCTTGAAAATGACTTCTGCGTTATATAGTAATAATAATAATAATAATAATAATATTTATTACCCTCATTAAACAGTATATACAAAGTTTACAAACAAAAAAAGTCTTAAGAGGAAAAAGGGCTACATCAGCTTGCCCTTAAAAGAAGCAGTTGCTAGAGCCAAAAAAAAAAACGAACAAATTTAAACAATTCTATAGTAAGACAAATGGCTATTAAGACATTGATAATTAATAATGTTTTAAACTTAAGAAATATAGCGAAGTATAGTAAGTAGAGAAATGGAAATTTAGAGTGAGAAGAGAAAGCGAGGGGAAAGAGAGAAGAGAAAAGGGGAAGCAGGAGATGTGTTTTCTATGATATCTGAGACAGTAAATCACTTTTAAGGTTCCTCTTAAATGAAGCTACCGAGAGAGAAAAATCTTTAATTTTGAATTTATTTACCAAAAAGGCAATTAGATATGATAACGATTTCTTAAATGATTCTTTATTGTGTGATGGAGGGCTTTTATATTTTATAATCTTTTAAAAAAAGGAAGTAGAGTGCAAGGTACGCCTCTGAGCCATATTCAACCATCCCAGTTCAGGTAGTTTGTGGGATACTCTTTGTCTACCCCTTATGCCAAATATCAGTCTCAGACAAGAATTCTGAGCTTTTTGAACACGTTTTAGTTCCACACTATCAAAAGAAATCGGCCATATACCATATCAGCAAAGTTGAAGTGGGACAACACTGAAGCTTCGCAGAGCGTGGCTTTAGAATTTTGTGATAGGTAATGTCTATGGGGGTAAATTATTTTTAACATTGAATATGCTTTTCTTAGACACAGAGTAATGTGCTCTCTAAACTTAAGTTTAGAGTCAACCACTAAGCCCAAATCCTTCACGGAATCCCTAAATGATATTATATTGTCCCCTAGTTTGAGCTTAATATTATTTTCTAATATGTTTCTGCAGGAATCACTACAAAACAATATAGCCGTCGATTTACTAGGGTTTATCTTTAACAAGTGATCTTCAGAGGTTTTGAGAAGACTATTCAAGTCGGTATTCAGTCGGTTTGTTCTGACAGATCAGGTTTAAAAGAGGCATAAATTTGAGTGTCGTCAGTATAAAGATGATATTCACAATAACTCAGCGACTTCATGCAATTAAAAGTATATAGGCTATACAATAATGGACCCAAAATAGTGCCCTGGGGTACCCCTGATGTAATTGTAACTGCATCTGATATGTTCCCGTCCAAAGTCACACGCTGCATCCTTTCAGATAAAAAAGAATTTATTAATGCATAGGCCGGCTGCTCTAATCCAATATATTTCAAAATAGCCACTAGTATCTCATGATTAATCATGTCAAATGGTTTCGTGTAGCCCAATAACACCAAGACAGTAGCATTTCCCGCATCATGATCTCTCTCATCCACAAGATCTGTTAATGCTGTGGAACAACTGTACCCGGTTCTAAACCCTGGCTGTCTAGGGGGGATGATATTGTTGGCAAAAACGTAGTTAGCAACTTGTATAGCGATTGCCTTTTCCAAAAGTTTAGAAAGGGTCGGTAAAAGCGAGATTGAACGTAGTTGACCAAATTCTGTCGGATTGTTAACCTTAGCTAATGGAAGAACATTGGCCAGCTTCCAGCTTTTATGAAAATAAGACCTTTTAATACAACTATTTATAATATGGGTAAAATATAAGGAGCTATAAAAGGGCAACACAAGGAAATCAGGGTAACGTTCAGGCTATCATCGTCGAGCACAAATTGTTCATCATCATCCGGAGTCTGCTCGCTGTCGCTTTCGTAGTCACTCACAATTTCAATGCTATACCATCGTGAACGTACTCTCATAGTCTTTACCGTTTATTGTAACAGTCTCTTTTAATGTACTGGCACGTAATTCCTTCTAAAATATCATATATGTCAAAAAAAAAAACATTAAAATTATCAACCACAAAAACTTACGATAAGAGTGAGGTGGAGTCCGTGAGACTCTCTGACGTATAAAAACACAAGCACACAAAGACATGTTTCAGGTAGATCTGCAACCACCGTGGCAAACAGGACTCACATATCCAAACTAAAGGTAAATAGGCGTACATTGTTGTCACTTGATATAAAAAGTAGTTATAGCGAAAAAAATATCTGCCGGAGTCTGATAGACTCAACCTCACTAGTTACGGTTTAATTTGCCCAATGAACACCATATAAGCCAAACAAGCGTTATTTTGAATTTAAACGAAGTGCACAGCTACTTATATTGCTGCGCGATACATGCAAAAACAAATTTTCACGCGATGGCTCCAACATTCATCAAATACGTTTATAAGAACACTTGCGCCAAAGATTTAATAGCTTGTAATTATGATACAACAGATTTTTTTTTAATTTATACTTATAATTTTGTGCGTATATGACGGTATTGTCGTCAAGCTTTGGAAGCATTTCTTCAAACCATCGTTCAAATGAGCTCCCGACCATTTGTTCATGGTAGTCGGTCGTTTTCTTTGACTTAAATGCCCATAGGGCAGTGGGCACAAAGCCATCTTCACTGCCAATGTGACAGATAACAAATCTTTTTGCTTTTCATGGAAATAATTATTTCACAGAGTATTCAAGAAAACTAATAATAATACAAGCTGAGTATCTAACAGGTGTTGGTTCCAAATCTACCAGATATACCTAAGTTTAGTGTAATGTTTTAACGAATTGGTAAGATACACGCACCTGACGGATCCGTTAGATGAGTGGTTACTCCATCTAAGAAGGCTTGTCTTGTTGATTTAATTGTAGAGTCAGCCCATACTTTAGGCTTTGTATGCCCTGCATTTATCCAGGTTTCATCCAAGTAATAAATCTTCTGCCCTGGTCGCGGTATTTCTTAATTGCTTTAAAATAATTTCTTCTCGATAAAATAATCTCTTGCCTGTCCATCAAAATCTATTTCTGCCCTGTTTTCTATATCCAAAATGAAGTTCCCTGAGTAAACTATAGGATGTAATCCTTTTGAAGGTAGGTAAGTCTTCATCACTATTAACCTCCTGTAATACTTTGTCTATGGTGGGAAGTGCCTGCTTTTCAAAAAGCTATCAACTGTATTCAACAGCTTCGTGTGATGGAGCCTCTTGTGTGGTGGAGACATTTTTTTGTTTTTTTATATTGTTAAACAATGTTGAAAATTGTCTTAGGACATAAGCCTGTTTTGTTCGCCACACGTCTTTCAATATCATGAATTTTAATTTCAGGATTCTCTAAGATTTCACCCTTATAAACGTTAAAGACAATTTCTTTTGCCTGAATATTCAAATGTAGCATGGGTGAAGGAAGCATTGGGAGAAATATTCTCAGTTTCATCTGCTGTATCCGTAGACGACATACGTATAAACACACGCTATGTATGCACCGAATATGAACAGCAACTGTCGGCGTGCCGGCGATACCCCGAGCCTGAGTTCTATCCTGTCGAATCCTGCACTTACTCGTAGTTTTATGGCCGCATTACCAATAGCTATTGCAATGCTTTGCCGCGCTGCATCTTTATTGTGCCGGGGCGTAAATGGACTACAGATAGTATATAGGTTAGCCTAGTTTATAAACAAATCGCATTTCAAAAACCGAAATTGGCACATTCCTAGAGCAATAACGTTGTTATCGATTTAATATGAGCATCTTCAAGATCCTATTGATACTCCGCGAGTGTACTCAGCACGTCGCCATCGTCCTCGATGTTTCTTTCTATCAGAGCTGCATATGTTTATGTCTAGAAGAGACGTCTGGTTGAATACAGTTGAAAACCTAGACAGCCCCAAATGTAAACAAACTCCAAACCCGTGTTTTTGAATCGAACAGCGCCAACTTAAAGTAGTGTTTACAAACAAAACATGTGACAGGGCATTACTTGAAATTCGTTACCAAATAAATAGTGATTATTTTTCAACTTTTTTACATTTTTACATTGTTTTGCCGCAACTTAGCTTTGGTATTGTAAACTGACTATGCAAAGGAAAGTCCCAACTTTCAGGACACCCTGTATATCTATTGCAGCACCTCTGTATTGCCGTATGTCAATCTCAGAAACAGAACAATAGAAAGTTGTTCTCACTTGTTCTGTGGTCTTTAGCTGCATGCACAAATAAGGTTATACTTTATTTTTTCTATAAAATACTTCTGGATAGTTGCTTCATCATATACAAATGCAGTGTAGTTAAAAGATATTAAGGAACCATGATCAAATAACTATTTTGGGATTTATAACCTTCTGATATTTTTTCCTCAACTTTGACCAGCTGTGGTGAAACAAAAATGTACTGGGCTAAAACTGCATTATATTGAATAAAAAGATTGCTCATTGAATACAGATTTCAGAAAAGCACCACACGTACTATTTGAAATAGAAAAAACTGATAGCTGCTTTTGTAAGTGACTGACACACACTACAATGTAATTATCGGATTTAAATTCAAGTTGCACTGGTTACCGATCAGTGACATGCTAAATAGTACAAAGCTACATTATTATTACCTGCTCCTGATATGATTTTATGAAAGTTGAGGAAACGATATCAGAAGGTTATAAATCCCAAAACAGCGCTTATTTTATCATGGTTCCTTAATATCTTTTAACTACATTGCATTGGTATATGATAAAGCAACCATCTAGAAGTATTTTATAGAAAAAATGAACAAAGTATAACCTTATTCGTACATGCAGCTAAAGACCACAGATGAAAAGGTTCGTTTTTTTTTAAATTTAAGAAAAAATTCAATATCTCAAAAACGGTGACACTTTTATATAGGTAAGTTTTTGTTATTTAGGAGGTCAGTACAAAGCCTACGTTCTCCTTAAGTTTGTCGTGCTACTTATTGGACACCCTGTATATTTGTATGAATCAGGAACTCAAACTTTTGTTATGTAGTTCAGTGTCAATCAAAATCATGTTCCCAATTTTTTAAAGCCTATAATTTGAAAAGTACATGACTTAGATTTTTTATATTTTTCTTATAACTATTATGACTTGGTCTATTCCCCGTTTCCGGCTTGATGTCGACTTCTGTTACACGCTATATATACACACGCGCACAAAAACATAACCCTCCTGAAGCAGGTAAAAAGTTGCTGCATTTTCTATTTATAATATATTTCTTATAGACTTACTGTACATATGACTAGTTGACAAAACGTCACTATTGCATAACCTCCAATATTTTCGTGTTATTTTGTCAAAATCTGTTGTGTCACCAAGTCCCTTGTACGAAAATTCGAAGTGTAAAAAAAAGACGTACTTATTTTCAGTAAGCGCCAGCGAGAACGAAGAAGAAGACGATAACGAGTTCTACGATGCTCTAGCAGAAGGAGGCGGCACCCCCAACAACCAAGTCACCGATGATCATTTCACTCTGAACATCCGGACAGGTGGACACAGACGAAACAGTTCGGATAGTTCCAGCGAGACAGAAGAAACACGGGAGACGAAACAGGTACGATCGACTTAACGATTCTTTCTTGTTTAGTAAAACATTTAAAATGAAATAAGCGTTAAGCAAATTGGTTCAGTTTTCAGCTAGTTTCGCCAAAAAATAAAAGAAGCACTTTTTGTTCATTCCATAACTAATTAAACCTTATGTAATACGTATATTTGAAATTTGGTGTAAGTGCCATGGATTTTATGTAGGGATAGACCGGTATATAGTTGTAGTCACCGTTCTTGGCGGTTACGTCATCAACGCCATATGAAATAAGTAAACAGATCGAGTATCTGTACCATGTGCGGAACACTGAGCAGTCTAATCTTCAGCGCATCTGCTACTCTCTCCAGTACGCATGAAGTGTGTAACAGAGGACCGCTGTTTTCATTCTCTTCTTGGAAATACTCTAATAAATTTAGCACGAGCTGTCGGCCGACTCCATTGATCGTATTGCATTGTACAATTCCTAACCCAAAGTCGAGTAGTAAAGTTCATATAGATGACATAAAGAGTCTGGTTTCTAAGATACAGGTTGCCAAAGATCAAAAAAATGATTTTTCATCAATATCCCAACTATAGCACACTGCCACGGAAAGTCACAAATACATATGTTCAGAACAAGAGAACATTCCCTAGCAACTATATGAGGTTAAAGTTGACTAAAGCGCCATCTCTGAAACTAACATTTTCAAAGTAGATGTCTAATTACTATGCAGAGGAGAAACATGTTGCAATAAATTCTCGCGATACTGGAATACAGCATTAGTTTCGCTATTTTCAGGTAGAGTATGTTAATTGATGCTTAGGCCTATCACTAATACGTTGCATGTGAAAACATTCATATTGATAATTTGTTTTTATTAAAACCTCCGACACAAATCTGTATCTGTGTAGGAGTTAATTTGGGTGTTTGTGGGATGGTAGCTCCTAGAAATGGATGACCGGACCTTAATTAGTTTTTTATTTGTTCGTAACGTGACTTGATCCAATGTGTTCTTAGCCATGATGGAAGAAAAAAATCCCAGTCTATACAGGAGGTCGTTTCACTTATTACGTCACAGATGAGAAAGTATCGCAATCGCTAAAAATTTATAAAATGAGATATATTTTTTTGATGTTATATGACATGTACATCGCTCAAAACCATGTCGCTCATTTCCTTCGGTCTGCCAGTCTGTCGGTCTGTCCGCTACTCCTTGGCCGGTCAATATAATTTTCACACAAGGTTTCTGCTATGCCAAAGCCGAAAAAGCTTTGTAGATTTTGAAAATCGACCTAATCTTTTGCAAGCGAAATTAGGGGTTGATTGTTGTAGGGAGTGGTATATCTCAATTTATTGACGTTAGTATATTTATTCTCGTCCAACCCCAGTAATTCTAAGCGCCTATTAAACATGTTGCACATTTACCCTTAAACCTTAGAATGATGAAGAAATATTTCAGTCGCGTTTCGATACTACGTGCAGTCGATGCATGTGTATCATAGTCGGCAGTCGCTGATCGACTGCTGTGCATCTGCTGTGGATGTGGAGCATCATTCGTCATCCACGCGGGATTAGCAACGATCATGTGCACCCACAGGAATTTTTCTCATGAGGGGGGAGGGTCATTATCGGCAAGAGATAACCTTGTGTGGAAGTAAACCTGCTTCCAAAACTTTGAGCACTTTTTCAGGGCGACCAAATCCTGAAGGGCCTCAAAATTGTACACAAAAACATGCTAAATATGCAAAATTTAATTGTGTGAGCCTGTTTGACCGACTTGTTCCATTACATTTTTTTGTTTTACATGATAGTAGCTAGCTTTTTTCACTGGTGCTGACTTGTGCCGATTATAATCCTTTATGAACTGATGACAGCATTGCTTGGGAAGTGCAGAGTCAACCTACTCAAAGCTATTTTTCATTTATTAATTATGGATTGTTGTGTTTTCAGGTAGTTGTGGTGACTGGTAAGCATGCAAACCTTAGTTCAACGTGTGAAACAGGCGATCAGTGCTTATCAGTAAATACCGTCGATAACGTTTGTACTGACAGCGCTGGTGGTGACAACCAATCTGCCACGACGGCCAGCGCCAGCAAATCGAAACGGAAGAGGCGCACCCGAGTCCCAGACAAGCCCAACTACCCCCTCAATCTATGGAGCATCATGAAAAACTGCATCGGCAAAGATCTGTCTAAGATTCCGATGCCGGTCAACTTTAGTGAACCACTTTCCATGCTCCAAAGGCTTACCGAGGACTACGAATATGCCGATATATTGGACATTGCCGCCAAGTGAGTTTTGATTTTATTGGGGTCATGTTCTCCGTTTAACAAGAAGAATTAAGGTTGGCTTACGCATAGAGTAGGCTAAGTCTTCATTGTAATCATCAAACCGCTCGGATTTTGATAAAATTTTCCCACAAAGTTGTCAAGGATGAAGAAGTTTTGTTGTTTTAGAAAAAAGTAAAAAAAAAAAACAATCACTTAAACTTCGTTTTTGTCGGTTCAGAGTCCTGATCGTTTTCAAATTTTGTAGGGGTTGTGGGAGATGTAGGAAATTACTAATTGTAAGGGTCTTTTTGACTGAATCTGTTTAATTTCTCTGTTGTTCATGCCCGTAGCTGAATTTTTTCTCAGAGGATTTAAATTGCGCTGAACCTGATCGTTTATGAACTGATGACGACATTGCGTAGAAATTGCAGAGTCAACCTACTTGACGTCATTTTTCAATATTACTAGTACTTATTGCTTACTATCACTAAATACTGAGTCTATTTTATAAATGAAATTAATATTCATGATTGTATTTATTTACCCCATTATTTTGAAAGCTTGAATGTCCCATGCTGCTTGATAATTTGGATTATTTGAAAATAAGTGAGAAATGAACGATCTGTTGACGTGCGTGTTTTATTCGTACAGCGTTGCCAGACGTTCAGGAAATTCTCAGATATGCTGTATTTCAATGTCTAATCAAATTAAATGTGGTTATATATGATAGTAGTAGTGAAAAAAATCTCGGTGGAGAAGGCCATTAATATCCTTGCACATTATATCGTGCGCATCGGGATATAAAAGTGCTTGGCTAATAATGGAATACATCTCCATCAAGATATATATATATATATATATATATATATATATATATACTCGTATATATATAACGTACTATTTTAAATTGACACTTAGCAAGGTAACAAAACTTCATTGTGCCTTCGCCGTCATTTTCTGTGAGCTTATAATATTTTCTAGTGGTCCCTTATGTATTTAAATCTTTTGTTAAATATAAACTTTGTAATAGCCCTCAGACATTTTATCTAACAAATATCTAATTCCAGGATGGGCGACCCGTGCGAGCAGCTGGCGTACGTAGCAGCGTTCACGATATCAGCATACTCGACCACCTCCGACAGAACCGGGAAACCGTTCAACCCCCTTTTAGGCGAAACGTACGAATGCGACCGCAGGGACGACCTCGGATGGCGGGCCATCAACGAGCAAGTCTCACACCATCCGCCCATGGTGGCGCAATTCTGCGAAGGGAAGCAGTGGAACTGCTGGCAGGAGTTCACCATGAGCACCAAGTTCCGTGGCAAATACTTGCAGGTCAGTCACTACCATTTATTAATGAAAATGAGCAAACGATTTCTTAAGAATTGGTGTTTCTGATAACTGCCTAAACTCTTGGACCTCAAATGCCATCGGGGGATGATGAAGAAGAGTATAGCTGAAATGTTACCGCAGGTCAACAAACATTGAAAAAAAATGTCTCCATATCGCGAATGTTCGTCAGCGTATAGTGGGGGGAACTGAATCGAACGCCGCTCGTGTTGAACAAATAGGGAAACATCGGACTCATAGTGTCATATAGACGTTGTTTCTGTGGAGAAATCTGTGTCATGTAGAGTTGACTGAGGCCTGGTAAAGCTGCAAGTATTTCGCTATCATTATTGGTTAGCTCAAAAGAGAATTATCAGTTTGAGGTTCAAATTGTCCCTAACCACAAATTGACTAAATGTCTGTTGTTTTCATTAATATCGACAAGCATAAATATTCCAGACCGACATCCGTTAGGTGGCGCTATCATCGCACATCCAACGATTAGTGCCCCACGCTATCTTTAACTTTGTAGTTTTCAGTCCACTGGGAAGCAATCTAGTCTATGTCTGTGCGTATCCTTTCTTCTCACCACTGCATTCCCCAACACGATTTTTGGGAGAAATCCAATGTCGTATTGATAAGCATTCTGAGATTACTGGAAAATACCACTCCGTCAGGTGGCGACAAACATAACACACATGCCTCTCATTACATACTTTTTTAAATTTGAATTTAATTATTTCATGGCAGTATGGTAGTGACAGGATTTCTGCATGAGTGAGTATTTGTAGTTTTGTATTTCGGCCTCGGTTCCCTGTCACCGTTTCTGTTCGTACATGCAACTTTAAGGTGAATGTTTCAAACTCCAGGCTTTTTTAGTAAAGTGACTGCTTTTCTGCAAAAAAAACACTACTAAAATATATCTATTACAAAATTCACTCATGTTCACTTTTACATTTTCACACATAATGCGTCTCTTATTGATAAAGATTTTTATATTATTATTTTTGAAATTGTCATATTTCCATATACACTCATGGAAAATCGAAACTTTAAGCGTCCAATTTAATGCCACACCTCTGTACCATACCCCTACATCAAACCTACAAAATATTATCACATTACATACATTTGTGTACGAATATTTTTCTATGGCTGACGTTTGTATTGAAAAGACGAACGACTTTGGAAAATAGTACTCCATTATCTGGACGTTAATTCAATCCACATATGTTTTAATTACTGTTTGGCTGGAACGTCGTACAATGAACAGCAATTGAAACAGATGTAATTTGAAATTTATTTTTGTTTATAGGTGATACCATTAGGAATAGCACATGTAGAATTTGCAAATAGTGGTAATAGATATTCCTGGAGAAAAGTTACTACAACTGTACATAACATCATCGTAGGAAAATTATGGGTAGATCAACATGGTGAGTAACCATATAACATACGAATGTGTAATATAATACGTCTGTTTAGGAAAGCTCTGTATACAGTACGTTTAAAACTGATCACATACCTTTTCAGTACCTTCCAAACCAGATCAGTGGGTAACCAACAACCTGCTCCATAATATTGAGTTTTAAAGGTCTCTTAAGATTCTCACTAGAAATATTTACTTACACATTTGGGCTCATTTGTCTTGAAGAAGACTTACATAGCAGTAGATAGATATACGAATGCCGATTTTATATAAAGTTCGGAGTTACTGTTGCATTTACGAATTTATTGTAATTAATAGTTGTTAGCAAGCCATTTGATACGGGTTGTTATAACTAGAGATCGGATTATATGCAAATGCATATGCCAATTTTCGCTGGTTGTTGCATATTTCAACAAAAATCTAGAGACGTTGCATATCTTTGCTATAATTAACAACTTTTTGGCATGTTATCTGGATGATAAATTAAATTTTATTTTGTAGCTAGACAAGTTTATTGATCTCACGCTTTTTCGCCAGTCGATAAGGTTTCCAATAAAAATTTTAGTGGACGAGACGTTCGAGTGAATTCGGCCTACATTTTATGTGCGAATACTTTTCTAATGAACATCCAGCCTAAGCAGTCATATTGAGGGCTTTATTAATGATACTGGTGACGTTTTGCTAGATACAGTAAAAGCTAGCTTAGCACCCAGTTTCATACTGTCCAGTCACCTCTGTAGATGTGGAGCGGTCTTTTTCGACATATAATAATATTTTGAGTGATCGAAGGCACTGTCATTGAACATTTAGAACAATACCTTATTGTTTCTGTTTACAAAAACAACATGTTAAATAGTCGTCGCTTACAGATCTCACAGATAAGTCATTCAAGTGCTTAATTATGAACTTTTCGTAAGCCGATCTTGAAATAAAAACTATAAAAATCATTGTTTTATTGTAATTTAATTTTGCATATTTGGATACTTTCATGCATATTTTAGCTTTTTATGATATATATAATCCGGTTTCTACTTATAACATTGTTTTTGAGTATTGCTTGGTCAACTTGCATGCTTGGGAAATTTGGTTGTTTTATTAATGGATCCACCTATAAGCTGCTAGAGTAAACACGCGGGGCGAACACAATATTACCAATTTTTTTAATTCAGCATTTTCAATTAAACTAAATTTTACATTGTAAAAGCTAAGTTTCCGATTAGACAATGCATTCTTAGTGTAAGTCTACTCGAAACAGAACCTCATCGTTGCCAGTTTTCAGATACATATTAGGTAACTCCAAGCAATTTCAAATAAACTTCCAAGTACCCTTTAATCCCTTAATCCGGCCCTGTCACAAAATCCGTTCCGTCCATAAACTACCTCTCTGCTATATTTCACTTTTAATGTCAAAGATTGTTCGAGTTAAATTTCTATAAACCTGAAAAGTGATAAGGTTCCCTATAGAAATATTCAACCCCCTTCTTCCCCATCTTGAAAATATAATATATGAAGCTTTTTGTTAACAACAATTATTTAAAATATAGAATTGAAGATAAAACATACTTCTTTAGGCTAGATTAATTTGAAATATGCTAAATTCTATACAAAAAACTTGAAAAGAGTGACAATTAACAAAATTTTCCCCATTTACACTGTATCAAAGAACCGAGCATATGAAACCCATATCTGTATACCTAGCTTCAGAAAACTAATAGTAGCTTTCACCCCCTATTTCAACCCATCCAAGTATAATTTTCGCAACAAACGGTAGCCTATGGCAGTCTGCAATATCTAGTTTATAGACGTATATGCTAAAATCGGTTCAGCAGTTTTGGAAAGCAAAAGCGTCACAAACATACATACAAACTTATATAATATTAGGAGGGATGACAAACTGCCTTATTCAAAATAATGTAATTGCTATAATGTTGATCCGTTTGTATATAGAGATTGATGAACTTTATGTAACCACATTTCGTCAGATCAACAAATACTCGCACATGCTAACAAAAGTGATATGCAAGTGTTTGAGAACTTTCAAGTATCCAAATTTGACTGTGATGGTTGGAATCCTACCATTGGTACTTTCTTTTTTGCCCTTCTTTTTTATATAAGAATTTACGTTTTTTTTTTCAGGTGATATGGAGATAGTGGGCAAGGGCAAGGCGGCGGGTATCAAATGCCATCTAAAGTACATACCGTACTCGTACTTTACGCGCGACTCGCAGCGACGCGTCAAGGGCGTCGTCATGGACAAAGCGGGCAACGTGAAGTGGATAGTAAACGGCACCTGGGACCAACAGGTGGAGATCGCCAAGGTCACCGGGAACACCGGGACGGCAGCAAATCCAATCTACGAAACGGGCGCGTCTATACTGGCATGGAAACGTAGGCCGCCCCCTCCAGAATCGGAAAAGTAAGTCAAACGTTTTTCTCGAGCGACAAAATATATAATCGCATCAGTTTAATCTCTGATACATACACCCTATTTCTTTAGTCTACAAGTTTCTTATAAATAAACAACAAGTTAGCATTGCTACCACGCGGCGATGCATTAAAAGTAAAATTTAGGCTGAAAAGTTATTCTGCCTTCGAGGGAAATTTTTCATGATTTTTTTTAGCACATTTTCTCTTCAGCCTCAAAATTGGCATCAGTTTCGGTGATTACCTCTTCATCGGCGCCTAATTTCTTTTTCTGTAAAGAAATTATCGCTTATGTAGGTTTACTTTGGATGACTTTCTTCAGATGGTGCTGCCATAGATGGTTCTTAAATTATACAAGACTGTATGAGAGAGTTTTTATTGCTACAAAAGTACTGACTACTGACCGTAATGACAGATTGCTCATTTTTCTTTCGATTTTGACGTGAAGCTGACCCTAATATTTCAAAGCTTGTTAATTTTTTCCATAAAAAACTTTAAATAAATATGCTGAGAATCGTAGAACCACAGAAGGACAAGTGACCACAACAGAACTACAACAAAAGGATATCTTGTCACATTGCATGTATTACAAAAATCAGGAAAATTCACTTTATTTAGAACACTGCCTATTTCTTGCATTTATTTTTATCTGTGATCTAAAACTCATATTTCTGTTATATTTTAACCAATATGTTTTTATGACTTGACATTATTTTAATTAGCTTATGGAGCTTTACAAATTCCGGCAACAGCACTGAATAAGGAAAATATAACCTTATAAAATGTCATCCCCTATTCTACGTAAGTAACGCAGCTTCCCTATTTCGATGACGGATAACAGAGGATTCTGACGAAACTGCGCAAAATCGAAAAAAGGAAGGTCATAACGAAGTAGCAAAAGAATATCACAATCTATTATCTGAAGCGTGCTCATGATCTGTGCCACGGATAAGATATTTAGATAACAAATGTGACGACCTAAAAATTATGCCTTCGCCAGTCTGACCAAAAAAACAGCCAATCGTGGACAGCTGCTTAGTGCTTTTTGATTACTCATCAGCATGGTCTAGGCTTTCGTCTCTGGGACAACGAACGAAAGCATTGCAGCTCCCTTCTATCCAGGAGGTACAGTCTATGGAAAAAAGACACCGCAAAGCGCCATCTGTCACCAAAATCGACCACTATCGAGAGTGCATATCAGCTATTTGTCCCATGTGAGCGCTAGACGGCTTACGATTCTGGCTGTAAAGTAGTTGTGGTCTACTTGCCATTCAACCATAAACAGTGCTTCTTAGCTACTTATCAGCATGGTCTAGGCTTGGTATCTTCGTCTCTGGCGATTCTGTGAATGCCGGTCTTTACAGTACGGCCATCGTAGATACGTTGATGGGATTGTCGTTTGTATAATTCTATTAATTAGTACTATAGCAATACCATTTGCCGCACAGAGATGCTAAATGCGTGATATCTTTGACCGTTCGTGTAACGTCACTACAACGCACTTTTGTCAGACCCAAGCCAAGGTTGAAATTAATGTAGATGTTGGATGCACGGTAAATAAACTATGAATGTAAAACATATATTTCATGTTAGATTCTACAATTTCACACTGTTGGCGTGCCAACTGAATGAGCACGAGCCCGGTGTAGCGCCGACGGATTCTAGGAACAGGCCCGACCAACGTCTGATGGAGGAGGGCCAATGGGACAAGGCCAACCAGGAAAAGGTCCGGTTGGAGGAGAAACAGAGGGCTGTCAGGAGGCAGAGGGAGGCGGAAGCGGAAAAGGCAGCCGCTGAAGGTTAGTACCTAATCGACATGGATAATGGTTCTTCATATTTTATATGTCGCTTATATAAAATGCCTCAAGAGACTGTTTGTTGCATTGCAATTTTCCAATATTGGTGGACGAAAAAATGTGGGCATTTGGATACATTGATACAATATTAAATTGCAATGTCAAACCAATATGGCCTTTCTTTATTGGCAATATTGGTTGCATGATAATTAGCATATTGTCGCAATCAATCGTGACAATATTGGTTGTATGTCATATTTTGCCTATTGTCCCAATCAAAGATAAAAATACTGGTTCAACGTTGATTTATAGTATTAAGCCAGTACATCTATTCTTTTTTGACTTAATATTGAAAACCGATATTGGTTGCAAGACATACTTCATAATATATAGTCCCAACCAATTATAAAAATATTGTACGTCTCCACTGTCTGACAGAATCAGATCACATATACATATATTCAAATTTCTTTTTATTGTATACGAGTAAAAGAGAAATTTAAATATATAATTTACTGATTTAAATTGCGCGTCATTTTTGATACACGCATTTCAGCAGGGGGCACCGTAGTATTTGTTTAAAACACTTGTGTCCAATGGATCATGGAGCCCTACACGATCCCACAACGCGTCCGTATTGTTAAAACGTTTTACTTAAATAATGAGTAGATTGTTGCAGCGATTCGGAAACTACGTCAAGATTTCGGTCGCAATAATGTGCCCATTGTCAACACCATTCGTCAGTTGGTGCGGAGATTTGAACAAACAGGTGAAGTTAAAGACTTGTCAAGGTCGTGTTCGAACTGTTCGTACTCGGAAAAATATCGAGAGAGTTCGTGAAAGTTTAGTGTAGCGCCCGGAGACGACTAACAGTCATCGTTCTCAAGAACTGGGTATTCGTCGCACGTCATTATGCACTATTTTAAAAAAAGACTTGCATTTGCGGCCATGCAAAATTCAGTTAACCCAAGAACTACAAGCCTAGTGACCATGAAAGTCGCTGCTAATGCAGTCATGCAATATTGCAACTTAATACGCAAAATAACGATTTTTACCGACAGCTGATAATGAGCGATTAAAATCCCACTTCGCTATGAACGGATTTGTTAATAAGCAGAATTGTCGTATCTGGGCATTAGAGAACTCTCGTGACATCCATCAACGATCACTACATCCTCGTCGATTCACAGTTTGGTACGGTGATTGGTATGGAGGAGTCATTGAAGACGCTGCAGGTATCTTACTGTCACTGGCTAGCGCTACCGTGATATGGTGCAAAACTTTCTGGCTCCTCAAATCCAACAATTTAACCTGCAAAACATGTGGTTCCAGCAGGACGGAGGAATGTGTCTCACAGCTAGGGAAGCACTGAATCTTTTGCGAACAATATTTCCGGACGTTTAATTTCTCGATTTGGTGATGTCAACTGGCCGCCACCAAGATCGCCATTTAAAGGCTCCAGACTTCTTTATGGGGATTTTTGAAAAATAGGGCTTATGCCAGCAAACCAAATACTGTAGAGCAGCTATTACGGAGGTGATTGAAAATATTCCTTCTGAAACCTACCAAAAAGAGATGGAAAATGTAATCGAGAGGGCTCAGGTATTGCGCGGCTTCTAGAGGCGGACATTTGTCTAATATTATTTTTCATACATAATTTCAAAGTTTCAATAAAATATTAAGATGAAAAAAATGGACGTATGTTATTTCATTTCACAAAAATTCAAGATACAAACCAATCAGGTACATATCGGCCATCCTGTATAAGTGATTTGATTCGGCTAGGTGCGTATACTTACCGGAGTTGGAAGCGTATAAATATAATAACGCCAAAGAATTGAGATATACCCTCCCCCACCCCCTACAACTTCCCAACCCCTGAATTGTTTAATTCCACATATTTTTTTCTGAAAATCAGGAGCCTCTGAAATGTCAAAAAACGAAGTATTTTTTTTTTCGTTCCATCGAAATCGAACCGGCAGTTTCTACGTTATAACGATTAGCGAACAGACATACAGAAATAAGTGACATCGTTTTACTATCTCATTTTCGAAATTTATTGCGATTAGAATTCTTCCTCGCCAGTTGGGATAGGAAATTAAAACGAGCCTATTGCAATTTAGGTGGTGGAGAATTCGGAACTGCGACGATGTGCTGGCATAATAATGGTCAGTAAACAAGTGACTATGCTGATTTTCGAAAATAAATTTTTATGTGACTGCAGTGGTTGCTGCCAAATTGAGATAGAATTTGTTACGTTACAAGGGCGCATAATGATTTTCATTTCGAAATATTCAATTTGCAGTGTTCTATTAAAAATTTTTGTTTTGTTTTAGGCCGTCCATATGATCCGTACAAGCCAGTTTGGTTTGAGCAAACGAAAGAGGACAACTCGGACGTTGTGCACCACGTATACAAAGGTACCTACTGGACGTGCAAAGAGAAACAGGATTGGTCGATGTGCCCTAATATATTCTAAGAAACTATATCTACAAAAAGGTGTGGGGGGAAGGTGATATCGTCTTATAGTCCAGGTGATTGACCGTTGGTATCGGACTGTTTTTCTGTAGTACAAGATTCGATGTACATTGTTTTTTAAGATATTTATGAATCAAGGTAGGTACATATCTTGACCTCAGCATCACTAACCATCTTCAGCAACTAAAATTTTGTTTCCGGCAAAAAAAAAGATTCTATAAAAGAAAATGTAGAAAGTAATAAATAATACCTGATTAGAAATATAATTTCATATTCACATTTCACACTTGTGCAAGATATAATTAAAGACTGGGACGTTTAGATGGACCTGGATTATGAGAAATTACTGCAAGATATGTTTTTTTTTCAATTTTATTACCAAGGTGATAATGGATTTGTTTGAAAGTAGTCAGAAATATTGTAAAGAAACAAATAATATAAAATATCCATGGAAAAGTGTTATTCTTATATTTTGGCGTGTTCATCATGGATTAATTTGCAATCAGGATACTTTGCGATATATGTATATGTTACCGGACAAACCGGATTTTCGGATAAACTAGTTTTTCCTAGGCCAAATCAGTTTATCCTAAAAGCGATAGGATGAACTAGTTCATCCTGAAATAAATTAATTATGATTAGGAAAAACTAATTTGTTCTAGTATAAACTGCTGGCGCATTTCTGAAATGAATTTGATATATCTGCGTACAAAAATTTTTATTGGAAGAAGTGGACGGAAACATTGAACTTTTGTTAAGAACCGCAGCATTCAAACATTCAGTTGGAACAGGCCAAAGTTTCCTTAAGTGCTATTGCACCAAGAAGTGTACGTCAAATCGATGCCTTTGCAAGAAAAATAACGTTCTCTGCAACTCGAAATGCCGCAATAATTTGACACGTAATAACAAGTAAATAATAAACGTTATTAAACATGTTTGTAATAGTAGTATTTTAGTATTTTCTTCGATTAGTAATAAGAACATTACTTTTGTGATGAGACTGTATGCAGACTAGGACAAATCAATTTTGCCCAATCACACTTAATTGATTTTAGGACAAATTAGTTTAGACTAAGATAAACTAGTTCATCCTATCGGTCTTCGGATACACTGATTTGACCTAGGAAAAACTAGTTTATCCTAATATCGGGTTGGTCCGGTAACATATATATATCAAACGTTATATTTGAAATTTTCCTTCTTTGTAAATATATACCATTATCCAAACAATCTGACGCAACTATAATCTGTTCTAGCCTCATTTACGCCGCGTCAAAACGACATCCATTCTCCATCTTCAAATGCTCGCGTTCTTTAGGCCAGCTGGCCATAAATGCCTGAGCACGCAGCGGCAGGCGATTTTAAGGGGCGATCGAGTGTACGCGTTTGTTTGACGCGGCGTAAGTAAAGGTTTGAATAGAGTTTACAATCTTTTGTTTCTTAATATGTGATAATGTAAATAAATATATATGATATTGCTTGTTTATTCCTTTCATTGGTTTTTATGAATGGGCCATTGTTCCACTAAAAAAAGTTTGAGACTATTTGTTTTTTAACGATGATATTGTATATATATTATTATTATGCTTGTTAAAAATTTAGAATTCAATAAAAAGTTTTAATACATATCACTATCATTCTTTTAATACTATTTACATTCGGTAGATATACGCAGATGATTCATGTACTGTAGATTCAGGTTCTTAAACATAACATCAAACCCCCATAATTATTTCTACTGTAACACTTCGTCACAGAGACTCTTGAGTAACGATGCAATATCGACGCTTAGGCAACCAGAATTACGCCGCCGTGCATCAAGGGCGGTGTACGTGCAGCCTAAATTCGCGAGTGCATGCGACGGCAACGGAGCATTCGATACCGCCATCGAGAAATTTTCCTTAAAATTGTCGGGTTTCTGGGTTACAGACTTACAAACTAACACTGTGACTCAAGAGCTAAGGACCCACGGACCGCTCTGACAACCAACGATGACGACTTGACTGACAGACATCCAGAAGCATCGCTCGACGTCTAGAGAACTTCGATTAAAGCGCGCGAAATTACTGGAATTCATCTAATTCAAAATAAGTATCCAGGCGCCTCCACCACGGGGACAGTTGGGCGATGGACTGAGTCTGTGATAAATTAGTATAAGAGTAATAAATTAACCAAGAGCAAAGGTCCTCAGGACTGCTCTGACAGACAATGACGAGTAGAGAGTGATAAATTAGACTTTGAACAGTAAAAACGGTGTTTTCGTTACACTAAATTTCGTATTCTCCAACTGTCCAAGATATGGCAATGCTAGCACCTAAAGACGCTGGTCGACATGTATACTTTGAAGTTGAGTCATTAATTTTCAGATAATGATTGTAGAAGGAAGATAAACCAAAATAAAAATAATAATAATAAAAAAAATTTACCTTGTTTTATAAAGTATCCTGCCGACAAGTATTTCAGTGCGGACCTGTATTTGATCGTGAGGTCCCCTGTGAGGTCTTAAGTCACCTGATTCACGAGCCCGTTGTACTAGATTAACAAAGGCACGAGGGGTTGGTTGCACTCGATTGGGAAACCGATCCGCATAAACATGTGCCATTTTTTATTTCGTTTGAGCCACGCAACAGATACCACTATTCACTGACACTGACTGTATACAAATGAATGAAATAATTGTAAAAACATCGTTCCAAATTCTTTCGCTTTTTTGTTTCCGATGCGATGAACCGATACGGCGGATTATATCCGTTGTCGCCAAACACGGCCACATATTATTATTGAGACAGGGCGGTACTCAAACTTCCAAAGGGCTATAACTTTGTTACTTTTATTTTACCAGGAAAATGGTAAAGGAAAAAAACATTTCTTTTGATCAGATCTACTCACTGTTAAAATAAATGACTCAACTTCGAAGTCACCCTGTATAGTCGCTGGTGTTAAGAATGGACGGCACCATATCAATTAGATGCGACGTGACGTCTTTCGGAGTACAACAGCTTCGACAACAACGCAGCGGCACGGCTATTAAACTCGAACTGAGATCCTTGACAGTTCCAACCAACTAATAGCAGCGATACGCACTTATAGGTGGTTACAGCTTGTAAGTCGATCTATGCCATATTTCATGAGTATCCATCACGCTTTGCTGTCTACTGAGGTGAACAGCGAGTGAAATTTTTGTGTTAGTCTACGACGTTGGCAGTAATGAATCGGGTGTAAATCTAGCAAAACTTGTTTGTAACGTGTAACGCTCTGACTACCTGATATTGACGGATCCGTCAGAATTATCTGTCCTGTGCCGATATGGGGAATTTTGAGATATTAGATAATCGGCTGTCATTCTACCGTGATGGATACTCGTGAAATAAGGTATAGCAATAGCAACCCGGAAACAAGAAAATGATGTTAAAATTGGTGATGAAACTTTCAATGATATGAAGAACCCAGGAACATTATTCTACCGAAAATGGATGCAATCATTAATCAAATTAAAGCGAATAACCAAATGAAAATGGTATTTACCATTTTGGATTGGTATTTACCGCACCGTTCAAGCGAGTGTGGTTATCAGTTTGGTTATAAGATCCGTGACGTGATGAATCAGCTGTTATATGTCATAGTTATCACCGTAAAATTGTGGTATTTACCCAACTCAGGAGTAGTTTTATATTTCTGGTTATTATTTGAAATGTGACTAGTTAGAATTTTACGAGGTATGAGATATTTTTATTGTACTTCAGCTTCATTCTTTATTTTTGGGAAACTTGATACGGGCTGACTTCAGTTTTAGCATAAAGTAGAGCACCTTATTATAGTTATAATCATTACTGTTGTTGGGGACACTTTAAATCTAGTTCCTATGCTTAACAAAGTATTCTGTGTAGCCATGTATTACAAGAATATTAAAATATGGCCATATAAATTCACTGGATGATGTCCACCTGTATACGGTTTTCCTAATATCTTTTTTCGTCGCTTTTTTCTATCATTTCTGCTAAATCAATGAATGTTTTCTTTAACATGTGGAGAAGTTAAGAGCATTGAAAGTTATCATAGCTACATCATTAATTTTTTTTATGAAAAAAAAAACATTTCTCCACTGAATATTATGAAAGGTTCCTTTTTTAAACACCGTTGTAGACGAAAATGCACCGATTATTAAGTGATAATAAAAATAATCAGAAATTATATACGCGCTTTTCTAAAATAAACTACTTGCAACAAAACCGCGGTTAAAACCATTGCGTTCAAGCGATTCTAGTAACTGACGTCATCAATGCGTGTGTCATCTTGAACCATATTATAACAGCGGTACATAACAGAAATTTTGGTTATCCGCTTGGATTTGATTATTAACTTGTTTAATGATCCTCAACAGCTGTCAAAATTTGGTGCCGTTACCAAAGGAGCATTCCCTATGGCGCATTCTCCACGGAGCATGCAGTTTACTGCGTTCAAATCAACGAACAGATTGATTCGTTCTACCATTTCTGATTTTGATTCAGTTCGGCTACGAAGACTACTTGTTATCCTCTCACCTCGTGCTCCCATCTCTACACCTAAATGCCAAACGTCAAAGTTGTCAAAATTGTCAACGAGGTTTTTCATTCCGGTGCCGAATTTTCGATAAAATTTTAAACATTTTGGATTAAAATGGCAATTAGCTTACTGAATCCAAAAGCGGAAGTTGCTAGGGCTGCTCAGGCTTTAGCCATCAACATCTCAGCTGCAAAAGGGATTCAGGATGTGATGAAATCCAACTTGGGCCCCAAAGGAACAGTGAAAATGTAAGTGCACATGTTGATATTTTCTCATTTTTTCTATGATAAAGCTTATAAATTCAAAATGAATTTATCGTCTAGGCATTTTATTAGTTGAAATACATCTTTTAAATGCTGCGGGCTGTTTCCGGAAAACATAACCACAAAATTAACTTCCTAGGCTGGTGTCAGGGGCTGGCGATATTAAAATCACAAAAGATGGCAACGTACTATTACACGAAATGCAGATTCAGCACCCAACAGCTTCACTGATTGCCAGAGCTTCAACTGCCCAAGACGATATGACTGGTGATGGTACCACATCTACAGTTCTCCTTATTGGTGAACTTTTAAAACAAGCTGATATCTATGTAGCTGAAGGACTGCATCCCAGGATTCTTACTGAAGGGTTTGATAAGGCAAGAGAGAAAGCTTTAGAGGTGCTGGAGAAGATTAAGATACCCGTTGAGATTAACAAAGAAACTTTAACAGATGTCTGCAGTACTAGTTTGAGAACAAAGGTTAGTAAAATTAGTTTTATTTTGAACTTTTATGTACTTTCAATATCAATTTGAGGAGTAAAATGCTCAAGGATAGCAATTTGTGGCTTCATTCCATATGGTGCTAAACTTAAAACTCATAAAATCAACATAATCCTACAATTATTGAATTTGCCAACAGTATCTAAAGCAAAACAATAACTATAGACTACATAGGCGATTTCATAACACTTGAGCATACTTTTACTAAATGAAAGATTTTAGGAATGGTTTAATTGTAAATTAATTTTGTCTTGAATTTCTGGTAGCATACTGTGGCTCCATTTTTTTAGTCCCAGGTTAACTGTGATTTTACTGCTAACTAAGAGTTGTCCAACAAAAACCATTTTTCAACTCCTTGTTAGGATTAAGATGGTAATTAACTCTGACTAGAGGGTCATGTAGAAGATAAATAGGAAGTCATAGTTTAACTGCAACATGAGCTGTCATAGATGACACCATGCACAAACAAAAACATCATGAAATGCACAGAACATGAATGTTCAGATGAGGAAGCATCATTACTACATCTAAAATTAGGAGGACCTGAAAAACAAATTAATGGGCAACTGATAGTAAACTTTCAATTCATAGTTAACCAAGTTGAAAGTTGAACTGCAATTGAAAAACTGATCCTTTAAAGCATACCAATGAATTTTTTTAGGTACATCCAAAATTGGCTGATGTTTTAACAGATGTTTGTGTTGATGCTATTCTATCAATCAAACAAGATGACAAACCTGTTGATCTGTTTATGGTTGAATTAATGGAAATGCAACATAAGACTGAGACTGATACACAACTTGTCAAAGGTATATTTTGAGTTTGTTTGATTCTTACAATTGTGTATATACCTGTATCTTATGTGACATCTATTACACTAAAAAGCCCTTTTTTAGTTTGTATCAAAATGATAATCATTTTACTCAAGTAGTGGGATCTGTTACTAAGAAAATCATGAGATTAAGTCATACATTATTGGACTGATTGTTTTCATTTGCCATATTCTGAGTGTTTCAAATTCGACTCTCACAATTAGGATCTTGAAGACAGTAATAGATACAAAGTTAGTTAAATGGGGGCACATTGTGCATTTGGGTAACTAAGAAAATTTCACCTAGAAAGATTTGCAATTCTGAGTAGATTTTCCCAAAATCATTTTTATTTTTCCTAACTTTATTTGAGATGCGATTTCAAAATAAAAACTACACTAACATTGACACATTTTCTCCTGTACAAGATGGCATAATTAGAATTACAATATGATGTTTCTTCTCTTGTGCTCAATCATTAACTTTATTTTTTCTTGTAGTCACCATATTGGATTATGCAAAGATGAATAATTTTTAATTCTGATTTTAAAAAGGTATATATCATGCATTCACATTGTGAAATCTGAGTTATAATAATAATATAATAACTGAGACATTCTCATAGTTTGCTTTGAAAATGACAGTTTATCACAGATTCTGATATTTGCTCATTTATCAAATAGAAGAATACTTATTAATAATGCAAGATGTGTGGATCAGTTTAGTTATGGCACATATGTGCTACATCGTACGTGCTTTTATTTACTCCAAACTATTTCCATTGAATACATAAAATTATAATGATTAATTTGACATTTGAATTATATAAAAAAGTTTCAGTTTTAGCTTTAGATTGTTCTTTATTTGGTGAGATAAAACTATAGGACAATTACATTTTTAGACATTTAAGGTTTTATAATATCAATCCCTGTCATATGTACTCGAATCACATTATTAAAACTGGAAATGGGCGCTGTCTAGTTATTCAAAATGAAGAAATGCTTGGCTGATGATGTTATGAAACAAATGACTATTTGGCAGTTTCAAGCCAGGATTTTTTTTAAATAAACAAGTTCTGGCAATGCCAATTTTTGCCATATACATTTTTAGAATCAGAATAAAAAACTATCCACATCTGTAAAAATCCTATACATGTATGACGAAAAATAAAGTTGATTGCTGACAAGAGATAAAACATCATATTGAAATTCTAATTGTGCTATATTTTTTTTATTTCCTGTTAAATAGTTAAGACTATGAAACTTTCTAATTGCCATTTTCCTAGATGCGTAAATGCGCAACATTGCCCACATTTAGCCGACTTCCTTTTTCTTAGGGATTCCGAGATCGTAATGAGTAGAGTCGAACTTGAAACACCCGGTATTTCTCAATTTATGCACAAGACTTGAGTCGTGCAAGACTGTCACTCTATAATGCTTTATAAACAGTCGTCGCACGACTGAAGTCAGGTGTATAAAGGAACTCAAACTCTTGAATGAAAAAGTAAGTGGGTAATGATTAATGATCCATCAGCCTATCACATTAGTGAAATTTGACAGTTTCGATTCAGGGGAGCTTATATCCATATTATATTCAAATATCTTTACTTACATCTAGATCAATTGAAAAAAAAACAATTATCAAGAAAAAACCTTCATACTTGTAAGCCTTTTTGGATCTTTTATAACTTATAACTTAGTTCTAATTTTAAACAAAATATATTGTTTTGCTCAGAGCAATTAAAGATAATTTTTTTAATAAAACAAAAGTATTTTTAAAATGGCAAAAATGTCAAGCATGTAAGATATTGATACTTGCTTTTTATTTTACCTGCCATTGCAGGTCTTGTGTTGGATCATGGCACTCGCCACCCAGATATGCCTAAGAGCCTAAAGAACTGTTATATCCTCACTTGTAATGTGAGTATGGAATATGAGAAGAGCGAAGTGAATTCAGGCTTCTTCTATAAGACAGCAGAGGAAAGGGAAAAGTTAGTATCGGCTGAACGAGAGTTCATTGTCCAGAGGGTACAGAAAGTGATTAATTTGAAAAAGCAGTTGTGTGATGGTACTGATAAGACATTTGTTGTCATCAATCAGAAAGGCATAGACCCCATGAGTTTGGACATGCTTGCTAAAGAAGGTAAGATAAGTGATAGTATCCTGAGCGCCCATTTATGCACGTGTTTTGAGCCGCCAACAGTGTCACTCAACAATGCTTGACAAATATCTGACTCCATTGTTGGGTAACCCTGTCACAGGACTGATGTTGCATAAATGCTGTATGGCAATAGATTGTATTGATAAACAAAGAAGGTACCAGAGAAATCTGTTTATTTGTTCAAGAGTTTGTTCTTGAACCTTTGATGGGTTTAGATCGATTTGTGGCAATTACTAAGTTCAGTCAGTGGTACCTTATTATTTTTAAACTCAAAGTAGAAAAATGTCTGCCCCTTAGGCCATTATTGGTTTTGAAGGTTTGGTACTCAAGAAAATGCTAGCGATTTTTTTATTTCTGATTTGGACATCCCAATTCTATCATTGTAATACCTGTACCTTTTGCCAGTCGATAATTCACAAAACTTTTTTTCCTAGGCATAATGGCCCTACGTCGTGCAAAACGCCGCAACATGGAGCGTCTGGCCTTAGCCTGTGGTGGTGTGGCAATGAACAGTCTTGATGACCTGCAGGAGTCCTCTCTTGGCTATGCTGGCCACGTGTACGAGCACGTGTTGGGCGAGAACAAATACACCTTTGTTGAGGATTGCCGCCATCCACAGTCGGTCACCATTTTGATGAAGGGACCCAACAAGCACACTTTGCAGCAGATCAAGGATGCTGTTAGGGATGGACTGAGAGCAGTCAATAATACCATACAGGATAAATGTCTGATTCCAGGTTAGTGTAATTCCTCTAAAAATACAATGTTCTGAAAAAATAGGAGAAAAGCAGGTTTTTCCATTTTTTCTTATAGCTCTATAATTTTTGAGGGGAAGATGAATATCTGCCAAAACCACCTGAGATTGTAGTTGGGAAAATATAAATACCTGGTTTTGATACCACTATTTGCTTTCCATTTTTTGTGAACTATATTTTGCGGTACAAGTTAGGCATAATTTTAAATCCACTACCTTGAAAACTTGAAACTACTGTCCATATATTCAAAATATGTGCTATAGAAAAGAAAAGTACAAAATGTGCATCAGAAAGTAATGGTTACGATATTGTCTATATAACAAAAAATCATTTTTGTTTATCTTTTGATGACCTGTAATATGCCTGTATCATATTACGCAAAACGATAAAGTTTCACCCACTTAATAGAGCGAGAACTATGAAAAATTTTTAAATTCACTGGCTTTACTTCCTAGTGCACTGACGAGGAACAAAAATAAGTGTCCCACCATGTCTTTCTTGGTGGAAACCAGAATTGCCGATTCTGCTCCGACTAACCATTTGTTATGCTATTCCTTTTTCATGTTAAGAACAACTTGAGTATTCAGAATGCTTAAAATACATTCTTTGTTTCCGGTCATTGAACTTTTGGACTTAGATCGATTTCCAATATATTTAGGTGCTGGAGCTTTTGAGGTGACAGCGAACAAGGAGTTGCTTGCATTCAAGGACACAATCAAAGGCAAGGCTCGACTTGGAGTAGCGGCATATGCTGAAGCATTGCTGGTGATCCCAAAAACGTTAGCAGTTAATTCTGGATACGATGCGCAGGTAGGTAGTACAATTTGATAAATGTTCTGAAATTCATAATTAATTTTTTATTTAGTACATTAAACGCCTTCATACACGCCATTTATAAAATATACAGCCTTAAAAATATAGAGTTTCTTACAAGACGCGATGCAAATCGAGACATTCGTAACTTTATTACAAACTCACTACTGTATTATGAAATTTGGAATGATTTTTCGATTCTGCTGATTTATTCCATCATCTTATTGTTTTAGGATACCATTGTGAAACTTCAGGAACAATCTCGCCTTAGCGCAGAACCTATAGGGCTGGACCTGGCTTCTGGAGAAGCAATCAATCCCAAAGACCGTGGTATCTTCGACAACTATCTGGTGAAGAAGCAGATTATTAACTCTTGCTCCATAATAGCAAGCAACCTGCTTCTTGTCGACGAAATCATGAGGGCTGGAATGAGTAGCCTCAAAGGATAATTACTCCATGTATTTTGACTATTTCAGTTTTTCTTTTAACATGTAATCACGTCCACACTTTTTGTATTATGCTATCAGTACTACCACCTTGTTGCTTTTTCAAATAAAGTAATAATTAACCAATTTTTTTTTATTCCAGAACTGTTATGTTTGCAAAATGTTGGTTAATCCATTTCATGGCACGTCGCATTCCGTTTCTCGGATACAGAATCTCGGAACCTGTCGTCATATAAAACTCGCATAAATAGTGAAAGATTTTTTATTAATGAGAAATGTGTCAAATATTTTACATCTAATAGTCGGTTGTGGTTCGTATGTAATTGATGCCAGAAGGCATGCCAACTCTATCAACTCCTTTAGGAAACAGTTTCTTTGCATCATCTTCACTCACAGAAGGAAGAATCATTACCTTTTCACCAGGCTGAAAGTAATAGTAGTATTATTGTCCGACTCCACCATATACTCGTAGGATAGATATTTTTGAATGAAATCTTTAACATATTCCATCAGGAGATATTCAGTTCAATTGAAACAAAACGGGCTCGTGTACTGTAGCGCCGCCAACTACCTATGCTTACAACCATACAGGGTGTCCAAACGAAAATGGAATTTAGTTTCATACTAGAACTACAAAAAAATGTCGAAAACGTTTTGCGCAAGCTTGATATCTATATCTATATTTTATGATTTCACCATGTATATTTTTGCCTTTATATGAGCTTTTTTAAGGTTTATACTAGTTTATTTGGAAGGTTATTTTTAGAAATTCTAGAAAGTCCCAATCATTTATTTAGCCACCACATGATATCCATGGAAACAACAACTTCCTATAGTTTTGTGCTTAGACCAGTGCTACTGCATTCTATGAGCAAGGAAGTGTATTTTCAAATATCTAATAAAATATAGGGTGTTCCATTAATAAAGAAACATGTTTGTTGTGCCACGGTCTGTGAAATACCCTGCTTATTTCCAAATAATTTGGGAACACACACCCACGCGGCTGCGAAAACGGGGTTTGAATATCTTTTACAGTTTTTCCATTAAGATACTGTACGGTGCTGTCCGTTTTCGTTAGGGCTCCTTGCGAAGAACTGCAGAGATCTATTACTCGAAAATTTGACGTTAGATAATTATGAAAACTTGATGTGAGGAGGAGGAATTCGGCTTAAATATTTCCAAGATGGCACTTCAAGTTGCATCGGAAGTAGGTACCAACTTGCTTATTTCAAATGGAACACTCTGTATATTATTCAATTTTTGAAAAAATATAAAGACATATACCTAACTCTAACCGTTTTTGGGATATATCAAATTTTTGAATTCTTCGTATATTTTTGCCTTTGTCGAACGATTTGTAACTGCTCCCTTACAGAAGAAGGTCTACTTTAATCGACTTCATTCGATATTTTGATAATTGATAATACACGCTGGTAAAAAAAAATCAGATGAAAATTTAATTGTTGTCACATCTTAAGCATCATCTTAATCAATAGAAATAAGGATAGTTTAGTAGATTATCTACTCCGCAAATTAGTAGTTTAGGAAATATTTGAAAATACTCGTTTTCTATCCCTTCATACGCCTTTTTTATGGACAGCATGGTCAGCTATGGCGCGGTGCATTATTAAAAATCAGTCATAATGTATGATGGAACATGGAATCATATTTAGCAAACTCAAAAAATTGTTTAGGTTTGAGATTGAACAAATATGTATAAATGGGTGTCGTTGAAACTACTGGCTCAACCTTCTTGATACAGTTTATTACTTGGCGAATAAATTAGATTCATCAGCATACTTACTACCCAGTTTGCAGGTGTGGCAATTTGAGGAATTCTATCTACTAACTGCAGGGAGTCGATCACCCTCAAAATTTCGCTGCAAAGATGAAAATGAAATTAGCGTACATACTTCGGTTAACGCAATTTATCGGAAAGTAAGTCTCCAGATTAGATTTACCAAATTGCTGAGCGGTGCTTGGGTACAGGGAAGGAGCGAGCATTTTTGAATGTAGTAATTTGGTGCTCGAAAAGCAAGTTGCTTAGAATATACATACGGGCGCGGAAAAGTTTATATAGTTTATGAATATACATACGGAAAATCATTCGTTCGTTTAGTGATTTGATAGTTGGATGGATCGCTTTGGGGTTGTTTCAAAAACCGCTATTTTTTGTCCAGATTTTCACTTCGCTATCTCGTATATTTGACAATTACCGTCCCATATAGGTAAAATGGCATGCAAAAACGCGCTGCTGCGTGTTTAAATAGCCAATTTTTATTTTGAAAAAAGACTGAAAGCTGTAAATGTAAAAGTATGATCAAAACACTTTTCTAGTAGCCATTTGTTCTTCAGATACGGTAGCAGATGTGAGGCAGTAAGACGTTCCAGATGAATTCACGAAGGATTTTGATTAGAGTAAACTCTATTGCGCCCGTTTATCAAAAGTATTCATCCCACAATTAAATACCTGCTTTATCTCATTAAGCTTTTTCATTTGATACCCGTTTCATAGCGTTAACCATGGAAATTATAAATTACCATTCAGCGGCGACCGCCATATTGGATTTAGAATGAGGTCACTTCGCTTATTATGTTTCGCTCATCAAGCCCTTTTATTTGATACCCATGGTATAGGAGTGACTCTGGAAATTATAATAGGGTAAACCCTACAGTTATTGGAGACGACACAGTTATGGGACAGTTCACTTACGATCCCTGAAAATAAGGTTCAAAATCTTAGTACTTCGTCTATCAACCGATAGATGGCTATATCAGTTCACTTACAAGGTCTCAAAACTAAGCCAGCGACATCTTTGCTTTGCTGAATAGTTTTGTATAAGTAGCAAGTGATGCACGTGAGTGCAGGTACGTATTCGTTAAGTTTTTGTTTAGGATAGAGAGTAATGTTTTTAAATACTGTTAGTTTATTTTTAGTTTGACCGTGATGCTTGTCATGTCATATGACTAAGTTTATACATATATAGACGCACTATTGTGAGTGCTCACATATCCTATTATTATAACCTAAAAGTTAATATGTCCAATAATTAAACTGAGAAATGCGGAAATTTCTAATATTGGACAGGTGTCCAATAACTGTATATGAAGCATTTTATGTAAAATCTATGCCAATCAACTAAAAACGTTTAGGTTTCTTCGCTATGCTTTTTACAGATATTTCAGAGCACTGTGAACAGTTATTGGACGGATGTCCAATAATTAGAGATAGAGTGTCCAATAACTGTATAATATGTTTATTTTTAGTGACTAACGATGCCTAAGGTCAAATACTATGATAAAAGCAACATAAATAGGGCAGTGCAAGACGTCATCAACAAAGTTGAATCATATAGATCTGCAGAATTGAAATATGGAGTTCCGAAATCGACTATAGAATTTAAAATTAAGCATCCTGATCACAAAAATACTTGTGATCCCTCACCTGTTCTCAACGAAGAGGAAGAGATGATATTGGTGAAGTAAATGGATTAATAATATAACTATTTATTGTCTATTATAACATTTGGCCATCGATTTCTAGCTGGATCCTAGAAACAGCACGAAAAGGATTTCCAAAGAAGGCGAACGACCTCAAGTCCAGTGTTCAAAATTTTTTAAGTGATCATCCGCGGAAAAATCCTTTCAACAACAATAGGCCTGGCGATGCATGGGTTAAAGTTTGATTATAAAGCAATTCATAGCTATTTTTTAATAAAGATCATGTTTTAGGCTTTTCTGAAAAGGCATCCGGAAAGTGTTGAAAGAAGTAGCGAATCTGTGAGCGCCGCTAGTGCGTGTGTATCCGAAAAAGATATCAGACTATGGTTCTCTGAATTAGAAACTTACATAAAAGGAAATGACTTGGAAGATGTGATATCTGATCCTACTCGAATATATAATGCGGATGAAACAGGATTTGAAGTTAGCCCTTCTACTGGCAAAGTATTTGCGAAACGTGGTGCAAAAAACGTTTACACAATCGATAGAGGTGCAGCAAAAGAAAATATAACAGTTATCTTTGCTTTTTCAGCTAATGGGGAAATTGGTGTACCTATGATCATTTACCCCTACGTGAGATTTCCTGAAAAGATTGCTAAATCAGTAAACCCAGAGTGGGGCATCGGCCGTAGCCCTAAAGGATGGATGACCAGCGAAACATTCTATGAATATATTGTGAACGTCTTCCATCCTCATCTTGTGAAACATAATATTAAGTTTCCAGTGATCTTGTTCTTGGATGGTCACAAGTCCCATCTTAATTATAGTTTAAGCCTCCTGTGTAAAAGGTTACAAATAGAAATATTCGCTTTATATCCAAATTCGACCAGGATCTTACAACCATGCGATGTTGCTGCTTTCCGACCACTTAAGCAAGCTTGGCGCCGGACAGTCAGAGAATGGGAAGAAGAGCACCCATCTGAACTTCTCAATAAAGTGAATTTTGCTCCTGTCGTAGAAAAAGCTTTTGAATCCAGTATAAAACCTGAAACACTGGTTAATGGTTTCAAAGCATGTGGGCTATTTCCGTTCAACAAAAATGCGATCGCTTACACTAAATGTCTAGGAGCTAAAGGCACAAACCACACAATAATTCAGGATGTTCCTCTATTGCAAAATCAGACCATGGATTACAAAACATTTGTTCAGATTGTAGGCCAAGAAAGGATTAACAAATTTGAAATATTGAGTCAGCAGGTTCCCGAAATCTGTAATGATGATTTTATGTCACTTTTTAAACTTTGGCAATATTTCCACAGAACAAGTAATCAAAATAAGGTACATTCAGACCTAATATCAGAGACTCATTCAGAAGCAAACGGATCATCCTCTGACATGCAAGAAGGGTTACCAATTGTTAATCAGGATACTATAGAAAAAACACATCACCAACTACCACCAGTAGGAAGGAATGAGGCCACAGTTGATGTACTAGTGCATGCCCCAAGATCTCCTCTCGGAGATTTGCAAAATTTAGACACAGCTACAGCTTCATCCATGACGCAACGAATGAGCAACAGTGTCCGTCCCATAAATTCTGAGCTATTCGGTCAATATTTCACAATTCCAGAAAGTCCAAGAAGGAAAGGCAAGAGAAATGTCGAGAGAATTCCATTTGCCATTACATCAAAAAAATGTCAAGAATTCTTTGAGAAGAAGCAACAGATAATAGAAAGAGAAGAAAAGGAAAAAGAAGAGAGAAAAAGAAAACGTGAAGAAAAAGCAAATTTAAAAAAGATACTAAAGCCAAATCACAAATAAAAAGGAAGCGTGAAGAACACAAATGCTTTATTTGCAAAAACAACATTGGTAGTATTAACATGCAATGTGAAACTTGCAAAAAATTTTTCCACCAAAGCTGCATACCCAAAGCACATAAGCAGTTCATCACTAATCAGGAAGATGCAGACGAAATTTTTTTGTGTCACATGTGCTATAAAGAAGACAATACAGATAGCAGCATCTCCGATTCTGACGGCAGCCAATCAGGTCAATCCGACTCAGAGGTCGACAAGCTTTATTGGTTGTACCAAGAATATGCGAAACAAAAGACATGAACTTCAACCTTCATCCTTTTACTAGTTGTAAGTAAAATGTATTTTGGTTGTGAAAATTAATAAAGGATGCAAAAATCAGCCAGTCTATATTGATCTGTAGTTTCCATTGTGGATGTCCAATAAGTATCTGTAGTGTGTCCGATAAATATCAGAACTGTCCAATAACTATACTTTTTTGTATTGTTTGTCTTTTATTTTTTTTTTCATAAACATACTTTCCTCAAACACGTATCATTCACACTTCTCTAATAAAGCAATAAAAACCGTTTTAGAAAATGAAAGAGTTTTTGTAAATATACAATAGATAATGATTTTATGAGGAATTGAAAACAAATAAATCTTAAGTGTCCGATAACTGTTTGGTTTACCCTACGCCATTTTGTGGCGACCACCATAATGAATTTAGAATAACGTCACATTGCTTGATAATTTGATATTGATATGGTAGTAGTGATGTGACTATGGTAAATATAAACACCATCTTGAGGTGGTCGCCAATGGATTTAGAATGACGCGCGGCACTTTGCCTATTGTTTCATTGGATACCCATGTCGATGAAATATGTAAATCGCCGTTTTGCGGCCGCCGCCATATTGAATTTAAAATGATCTTATTTGCGAAAATGAAATATTTTGTTTTTATGATATTACATATACACCACGAAAACCCACTCCGCTCATTTCCGTTGGTCTGTTTGTATGTCGGTATGTTGGTCTTTCCGCTAATCCTTAGTACCAGTCGGATTGTGATGGAATCTTGGCTTAAGAACCAAAATAACTTTTGGAAATTGATCTAGTGGCGACGAAGCTGCAGGCAAAAGAACGAAAGAAAAGTATGATCGCTCGTGCTTCATTTTTTTTTTAAGATTCATTTTCAGACAAATTTTTGTGGGGGTTGAAAATTGTGTGCTGGAGGTTGTAAATGTTCCATCTTTGGTATCAGTGAAAGACTTTCTATTATTAAGAGGTTTTTGATCTCGGTAACACTATGCAGACAAATTAGAACTTCTCAGCTTTTCGCTCTCGTGCCCGATGCTGTGACTGCCCCACCACCCAAAGACCTACGGTTGCCTAACGGGACGACCAAAATATCTGGGCAAAATTTTAAATAGTCGGAATTTTGGGACTATAGACGGGACATATAAATATTACCAATTACCAAATAGAACGTTCGGTGGTGAGCGAATGAGCAAACGTTCAACCGAATGAGCGAAGTGATTTTTAATCCGCGTAATTTTAGAAATCCGTGATTTTAAATTTGTGTTTTGTTATTTGACGGGACAATTTGTATTATTCCGAGACTATGGAGATCATGTGAAATGTCGGGCAGATCCCGACCATCTGGAAGCCCTACGAAGACCACAGTAAATTGCAGTAAATGCCACTGGCTTTGGCGGCAAAGCTACAGGCAGGAGTGCTGCTTATATTTTACCACGGGTTGGCGGAAGTACCAGTACCGGCGTTAGGAATGTATGACTCATTAGACATTTCTTTTGGTTTTTTGTATCTTAAATAAATTTAATGTAGCTGTCTTTAAAACAGACTTTGTGCCACTTTGAATCATAGTTCATATGACGTTAGGTCTAGAAATAGACCGAACATAATCTAATTGTTGACAGAATTGCATGGGAAGTACAGAGTCAACCTACTTGAATCCATTTTTCCCAATATGAATGGTAAAGTTACGAAGTAGTATAGCGAAATTCGGAAAAAGCACGTCGAAGTCTGTAAGAATGTCAGCCTTTCAAAACTTCCCCAAATTATTGGAGTTGTATTTTAAATGACCTTCTTGATCTGAGGATTAAATTTCTGTCATAATAAGGCGATTCTGAATAATAGATCTTGAATATAATGGAGATTTTTCTTCTTCAAGTTATCATTAATTGCTTAAAATCATACTTACTCAACGTTTCTTCCAGTAGATTGTGGATAGTGCATGGAGAGTCTTAGAACGTGTTTTGGGTCTATGATGTAAAGAGCTCTGACAGTTGCTGCGTGTGCATCGCTCTTCTGGAACTTGGCGTCGATCATGTCCAGTTGCACTGCCAATTCCCTGTCAGGGTCTGAGATGATAGGGTATGGAAACTCCCCGGGAATATCTTTGCAGTAGTTCTTTATGTCGTTCACCTAAATTGATTTTTAAGATACGACTTTTGACTTTTTGAAATAATGGTAATTGCGAATATTTAAATTAGAGTTTTTATAGTTACGAGGAAAGAGGCGAAGCACGCAAATGAATAGAATGGGGTATTCGTAAAAATCTGCAGCATATTTCGAAGGCTTTATAAAGAAAGTATCAGCAATACTAGTTGACCTAACGCAGTACAGATAGCATGTTTTAACACCCCAGTAGCGAATTAAAGGAATGGACGTCTGCAGCTGCAATGACACATAGTGCTTTGAGAGAAGAGTCGTAATTTGTGATTGAATCACTGCAATGATAGTGGGGACAAAGAGTTGGTGTTCTGCACCCTATTACAAAACGCATATTCCAGTCTATGTTAGTATAACACATGTCCGGTATTAAAAACTGGTTTTGCGAGTGGGAAAACTCTGTAGTAGTCATAGTAGCTACGCCAAAGGATCCAGGATCGCCTATATACAGAATCCTGCCGTTTTTTCTTCCTACGCCACTGGGCGAGACAGTATTGTAATCGCGATGAAATTCGAAAATGAGATACTGTGTTTTTTGAATGTTCATCACAAAAAAACCATGTCACTCATTTCCAGCGGTATGTCTGTCTTTCCGCTATTCCTTGGCCCGTCTACAACTTGAGAAGTATCGCTCAGGTTTTGAGTAAATTTCCATACAAGGTTGCTATTATGCCAATGTCGAAGAAAAAGCTTCGTAGTTTTTGAAAATTGGTCTAGAGGCGGCGTAGAAAAAGGACAAAAACGAAAAAAAAAATTATAAGAACCGCTCAAGCTTCATTTTTTAGAGGGTCCTATCATTTTTAGAAGCATTTTTGAGTTGGGGGTTGTAGCAGGGTATATGAAATTTTTTTGATCTCAGTATACGCTTCCAGGCCTGGTAATTCTGTACTCCTCTTAGGAGTATTTCACACATCATAGATTCCCCCGCATATCATGAATGATAGAGAAATGTTTTTGATCCGCATACTCCTGCTATTTAAGGTCATCGCCCGATGAATCGGTCGGACTGACTAATGTATCCGTGCTGCAGCGCAAAAACATTCACAGACCATGCACGAAAAGTACGATAAATCGCGGCAGCAATGCTGCACTGGGAGCTGCTGTGCAGAGGTGGAAAGGGACAACTTTGCTAGATAGACAATAACTACTGGTAGGGCAGGAAAACAATGCCTATAAACTAATTGTGGGCCTGTTCGTCTGGCTTGATCCGTTTAATTTCTCTGTTGTAAATGTTCGTAACTGACTTTTTTCTGAGAGGATTTAAATTGCGCTGAACTTAATCCTTTATGATCTGATGACGTTGTATCGAACTGCTGAGTCAACCTACTAGACGCTATTTTTGGATGGCCCGCCGTTTCTCGTGGTCTAGCGGCTGAAGGCATAGATTATTATATACAGTAAGGCTCTGATTTCCTAAACCGCCTAATTATAGTTTAATGATTGATATGATATCTAATAACATACAATAGGTCTAAATCTATTTTTAAAAAATTGCATTGGAATTACTGATAATAATGACCTCTTGATAAATAAGTACGCAAACAAACTAAAACTAAAACCTAATTAAATAATAATAGCATACTTTGATAAATGAATAGCATTTATCAAAATGTAAGATAATGTAATTCACTAGATAACTGTCATGTTTGGATTTGCTTAATATCTTTCCACCATGTCAGTGCATAATTATAAAGAAAACCACTACTCTCCAGGATTTCATTTCATAGACCACACTGTAAAATATTTATATCTGAATGGAATTTTATATAGAGTTAGGCATAAGCAAAAGGATGCCGTGATCAAGTTTTGAAGTTGAAACATTTACTGTACGAGTATTGCTAGATTTCCCTTAAGATGGGTTGGAACACCCTGATACGGCATGATGCGGTTCACATTCGGCTAGACGTAGAGGCATGTTTGTGATTTTTTGCGTGATTTATATCTTGAGGTGTTTCATCCAAAGCTGGATGTACTTGGTTCCGAAGATCTGCTAATGCTTATGAAAGGCAGGGTAAAGAAGTCACTCTTGTTCCAATCGTTCAATGAGCGAAGAGTCTGAAGATCTAGGGGGCCAAGAAAGGCAAAGCAGGCTAACTTGAGCGTTATTCAAATAGTTCATTGTAGCTCTAGAAGTAAGAATGGGAAGCGCATTATTCTGTTGAAAAAAATTGTGGAGAAACCCTTTGACCATCATGTTTTCTCTAAGGCCCGTATCGTCAGTCGTCCCTACAATTCTAGGGCCTCCTTGATTGTCATAGTTTTCTATTTTTCCATGTCAGTGCTCTATTTTGAGGTATGCCCTAAACCATAAGTCATGCAGTACGGTGCATCTGACGCTCAACAGAATACGTCACATTATCCGCAACGCCTTCTAACTCGTGCCTGTTCAGCATGCGCACCTAAATAAAACGAGACCGATATTGATATATGCAATCAAAATTAAAGATCGAATTTATTTTATAAATATTATTACGATTTTACGAGGAGCATGTAAACATATTTTAGCAGCTTATTAATTTTCATAATACTGGTGTATTCAATCAAAGTAAACAGTTTAATAAATTTAAACGATTCCGTTTTGATATAATTGAACTAGTTCAATAAAGTTGTTTGCAGGAGTAAGAGATAGCTTAATATAAATGTTTTTGTTATCTGTCAAATAGCTTAATACTTTTTTTAACGTGTTTCATTGAATTTTTCTTGTTTTGTTGAATTTTTTCTCAAGTGCTGTGTTTAGTGATGAGTCTCGGTTCTGTTGAGGAATACATGATGGAGGGGCATAAATCAGAAGGAGCGACGGCGAGAGAAGTGGTGTTAAGTTAGGTGCCATCCTGGGCGTAGTATGCCGCTTAGAAGAGACACCTTTGTATTCCAGAACACACTGGCATAACACAACAGAGTAACTCTGTTGTGGGTGCCAGTAAACTTAGGTAACGCGGGAAATGGAATGGAGGATGAACTCGCAAGGAAAGGATCATCCATATCCTATACAGGTCCAGAACGTGCTTCCTTGAAGGTGCTAAAAAGCACAATAGGAAACCAAGTCAAAGAGTGGGTAAGAAACCAGCACAAAGAACATTGGCACTTAGTAATTTGATGTAGGCATGAGATTAATCTCGGGGCTATGTCCAAACAAGGCTATGGAACTGCTTTCACACAGTGGTCTGAAATAACACCTGAATAAAATAGGGCTGTACGGTGGGGACCTTAGCTGCAGACAATGTGAAAAAGTAACAGAATCAGCCCTAAATGTCTTATGTGAGTGTGAGGCGCTGGACCACAAAAGACATAAGCTCTTCGGAAAACCAAAATTTGAACCGAGGAAGTTTAGAATAGTACCGGCAGGCAAACTGTACCAACTGGTTCAGAACTCTAGATTGGGTATTGTAAACTCGAGGATCAAGGCACAATAAGCCCTTGATGCTGCAGTGCGATCGAGGACTTTGGCCGGACGGCTCCCTGAAAGGGGAGAAATGTTAAGTGTTTTGTTGAAAGTGACGTACACCATTCTGCAGGAGTTGGCTTGGGGTGCCATTACATATGAAGCTGTCACCTCCAGTCTTCATTGGAGGAGGTATGATCCTGCACCTGTGTATCCAGGAAGTACTGGAACATCATTTCCCCAATGGGAAGGAATCTATTTTTCAACCGAATAATGCCCGTCCCCATGTTGCTACAAATCTTTCTTTGCAATTTTGTAACCAAGTATAGTTACCTTGGGTTAAGATATCTCCAAAATACATAAATCATCACCTTGCCCCTACAACTGGATGAATGTATTCGGCATCGAGGCAGCCCAACAAATTATCAGAGAAATCTAGCGACACAGCAACTGTTTTCACTTCAAAACCTAACCACTCCTTTCTCTTGATTATATTTAAATGTATGTAAGATTACATTCTAATAAAATTTGTTTTACTGGACGTTATTTCTTTGTTACTGATGAGTATGAGTACAAAGATGTTTGTTAACAGATGCAATTTCGGCAGGTAACTTTGGATATTCAACAAGTACCTTTAGTCGATAATTTCAGGTATGCATTCTGCATGGATACAAATTGGTAATAGACATATTTTTATATAAATCTAGAAATTTATTTCTTACTTGAATTTTGAACAACGTTGCATGTATACTAAGTGGCATATAAATCCGAACACCCAGTTTAAATGGTTTTATTTTAATAAAATTTTGTATAAGTACTTAATGAATAAGTAAATGATAAAAATTTCAAAATGATTGCACTGCTTTAAAGCCCTTTGACCTTTAATAATGTGTGGATGCACCCTGATGTGCTACGCATTCTCCAACGCGCCTAGGCATGCTTCTGATCAGGTGGTCAATGTCCTCCTGTGGTATCTCATTCCAGGCAACCACCAACTCCTCTCGAAGTGCTTCTAGAGTCTGAGGAGGACGTTGCAAATTGAGCAACCTCCTACCCATCATATCCCACACGTGCTCAATTGGGGATAAGTCGGGAGACCTTGGTGACCATCATGATACTATGACTGAGAAGATAAACCCACGCGCATGCGATCAGGTTATCTCTCTCGCACACGTGACGTCACTCGGAGACCCAAATCCCCTGGGAAGTTCAGTTTTATATGGCACTTTAGCTTGTTTAATGTTTATGCTTTGTTTAATTAGTTTGTGATCTGCTGGTGTGGCTAAAATTTTGTGAAAAACAGTTAATCTAACATTGAACTATGGTGTACTGTGCAGTGGTGGGTTGTAAAAACAACAACAAAAAGAAAAGCAGATACTTTTCAACCTGCAGTTTCTTCCGCTTTCCTAAACACAAACAAGTTCGCAAAGAATGGGTTCTGAAGTGTTATCAGCAACACACATTCAATACTGAAACTGCAAGAATTTGTTCGAACCATTTTGTGGAAAGCGATTATCGTCTAAAGGAGAAACTGTTGGGTTTACCTGAAAATAAATGGAAGTTGAAAAGCGATGCAATACCCTCTGTTCAT